TATTAAACCTTCCAGTCAAAAAAATCTCAATAAGATTGATAATTTTTTTTATGAAGGGCTGTGAATTTGTTTGGGGTGCATGAGATCGTTACCTAGACTAGCAATTAGCAATTCTTTCTGAAGCGGCCATAGTGGATCCAGAGCAAAGGAGAAGGACGCTGGCAATTAAACACATAACAAAGTTATTGGTTATTCAAAATCATCCTACTGTTAAATTATTAACAGACTGTTTAATGGTCGAAATTTTTACAACAATGACAATATACCCTATTTGGTTTCAACATTGCAACATTTTTTACCCTTCTTGAATAAAGTATATAAAGGTGTTAATTTTTCTTGTTATGAGGTAGACTATGAAACTTTAGTCTCGCCTCAACTGTAACATCAAGAAAAGTCACATTGCAGGAAAGGCTATATTCGCTTCGGTAAATGATGAATATTCTAATAACTATACGTTTATTTACTCAGATACTTCAAAAAAAGATGATAATCTTGAGTATAGTATTCACATTCCACAATTAAATCATAAATTTTCATGTAGATTACCAGACCACATTAGTATCTGTAAAGCAGACATTATAGCCACCCATGATGCAGTAAGGACGGCTATTCAAACACACTTAAAAAATGCTATCATCTTCTCAGAGTCGCTGTCATTCAGAAAATAAATGGGAATCATCATAATGCAGCAGCTGATTATTGAACACTTAGAACAAAGAAACTTATTAACTCAGCTGGTGAGAATGATTCCAGATTGGCTTGGATTCCAGGTCATTCGGGAATCCAGGAGAACGATGTCGTTGATGTTCTTGCTAACATTGGTAGAACGTTCCAAAACAAATGTCTCTGAATATTAAAGATGGTATACATATAATAGTATCAAATAAAAACTTTACCACGCTGACGAGTACATTAACCAAAAAGGCTGGCCGTCCCTCAATGTTCAGGCGACATGTGACGCGAAATACTTATTTACAAGGTGTAGATATAACATGGCCAGATTCTGTACATGATGCTCAAATCTGGAGGAACTGTAAGGTGCGTCGTATAATGGCGAGAACACAAAATATAGTATTATTAGCAGATGAAAGATATGGAATTAAGCCATGGCTAATAATCCACAGACTGCCCGTGAGAAGAAATACAACAAACTTCTGGCTAAGGAGAGAGTGGCTATTGAACAATGTTTTGGTCAGTTAAAAAGGAGATTTTCTATGTTAGGGTACGTATGTCGTATACAATTGGAGAATGTACCTAACATGATTTTGGCCTGCGTTGTATTACACAATATAACAAAATTATTGCAAGATCCGGATTTTGAAGGAGATGTTGAGGAAGAGGGAGACAGCAAATGAGCAACAAAATGAGAATCTTAGGTTAGGCAAGAAGGACAATGTGATTGAAGCAACGAACTTACCTAACTTTAACCAAGATAATGTAATATTATTAAATATCATATATAATATAGATTACACTATTTCATAATAGTATAATATAAATATAACATTGTCGATTTTCATTTGCAAATATTCACGGTGGGTGTGTGCTAGCTGAAGCTGCTCTAAGAGGACTTACCGCAGTAATTCCATGTTGGACAAGCTCCTTGTTTCCTTTGTTTCTTTATAGGTTTTGGACCGTGACACACAAGAACGCTTGGTCGGGGTGGCTTTAAGTGTTTCTAAAAGGCTCATCGAAGATACCGTACTCTCGGATCGGAGCTCATCTATATTAGACGAGGAAGATTTCGATATCCCTCGATCTTCGCACTTTTCGAAGTCGCACCACACTATACAGCCCCTGGTAACAAGTATTTTAGAAGTAAATAGTAGATACTATACTTTATGCACTTCAGGGATTAAATTTCACTTTATTTTCCGGCGATTAAATTTTTACTTTATTTCCCCGGGATTAAAAGTACCCTTTTATTCCTTGTTTTATTTCATCCCCGGGAAATAAAGTAAAGTGCATAAAATAGTGTATACACCTCAGGGTCCTTATTCTCGAAACAAGGGAGCAGCGTTCTCATGAAAACGAAGGTTTTGTCTTTGCCGCTCATATTCATATTTCCATAACACTGACAAAAACAGAACCTTCGTTCTCAAACCGCTGTTCCCCGGTTTCGAGAAAAAGGACCCAGGACTAAAGTGTCCCTCGACAAATTATAGCCCTCCCGCTGGTCGGGCTATAAACTTTTTGTCTCGGGATTAAAAGTACCACTTTAGTCCCTAGGTGTATAATGTACTATTAAACAAATTTGGGTAAATTTCAATAAATCATCGAATTTAGCTAAGTATTCAGAAAAATGAGTTTTCATTATTCATATGATACGGAGTAAATGCTTCTACTGTTACCTTTTACTCGAAGCTTTTCCTTATACTTCTACCTTTTGTTTACTTAGAAGCAAAAGCAAATGCTCCATTTTTATTTATAGGGCTGTATGTTTCACTTAAGACGACGTAATTTTACTTAGAGAATTTGTTTTTTACAATAGTTTTTCATTTTACTGTAGGTAACATCAAACAATGGGTATCAGCAGAAAATCACAAGCAACAATAAACACTTTTTGAAGTTAAAATTTATAAGCATAGCTATCAGCTGTCAAAATTATAAATACAAAATATGGTAATACTTTAACACCTACTACAGTCTTCCAGTAACTGTTATTTTCTTAGAGAAATAGTGCTGATGCACTAATAAAATAACGTAGATCATTAATACTGCGAGACAATATTTAATAGTTTCAATAACTCTATATTGTTCATACAGTTTTCTTTATTTCTTGTTGATGTTTTTATTCCCTCTGTTATCCACTTATCTTTTTTCAGAACCTTTTGTTTTATTTTTTTTTATAAGAAATAATAGGCTTAAGTATTGATTGAGTATATCACCATAACCTGTGTATGCTGTCTTTGGCGTTTGTCGCCCCATAAATTCCACTCCATGCACACCCCTGAATTTCTTGCTCAAACTGGATCATTTTGTTTTTGGAGAAAATTCGTTTAGAAAAAAATGTTGTTTTGTGTTTGGTTTTATGTTTTGTCAGCCGTTGCGCATGATGATCACTCAATCCCGTTACTACCACTTGATTATTTTCATATTCTTGAGAGTTTATGAATATATTGTCAATACAGGATCGTTTGTTTGATAATACTACAATAAAATTATTGTCCTTAACTAAAGGACCTTAATGCACTCGGGCCGTCCAAAAGTCGATTACGCACTTCTTGGTTGTGTTACTCCTTAGCCCCATTGGTTATACGGTTGCAATCATTTCTGGCAGCCAAAAAGGATGATTCAGTTTGGGATTCTATCCCAGACACAATATGCGGTATTCTTTTTTGTAACTGCTCAGCCACACTGCTTGTTAAACCATGCTTTTTCGGCACCGGTTGTTTTATTGAAGTGTGGAATCTACATTTCCATACGTCCATACCTAAGGAAATTATAAAGGGCAGCTGTTCATATGGCTTGATGAAGGTTGACTTAATGCAGTAGGGCAGTAGTTCATGGCCAATATTTTATTCGACATATTTTTTGTATTATTTGTCGAATCATCGACAATACTTTCCAGCCTCCGAGTCGCTTGACATTATAGTGATTCCTACTCCAGAATCGGCCAACATGGTAGCCGATGAACGACGGAAATTATGTCCTGTATACTGTTCTGGATTTTTCAATTGTAAATACACAGCTATTTCCGAAGGCAGTTTACCAAATGAATTTATTCCAATACATTGGATACAGCATGCTCCTTGTTTATATTGTACGAAATAACTTGCATATTTATGATAGAGTTGTAAATAATGTACCTTATTTGTTTCATTGGATACTAGAAAGATGGTTGAAGTATTGTTTTTACTGTCAGGGATTTAGACGACTATCAAATTTCCTTTATCCTCTATGTGATCAAACATTATCTTCCGAAGCTCTTCGCGCCTGCACCGGTGCATGCAGGCAACCGAAAAATTGTAGCAACTTCTATTAGAAGGTAAATTTCATCAGGTAGGTATTTCTTCCATAAATCTACAAATTGCACTTTTGTCAAAAATTTTGGCCTTTTTCAAACGACCTATATGCTGCTAGAAACTGGCTTATGTGTTATTCCTTTGGGTGTGCCTCCCTTTTCATTTTCATCAATACTTTTTTCACTGTATCCACAAATCTTTGAGCTTGACTATTACATTGTGATGAGTATAAAGCTGTACGAATATGTTGAATGCTTTTCTATAAACAATAATTCTGAAAATTTTCACTAGTAAATTGTGAACCATTATCAGATAAAAGTATTAGGAATTTCGAATCTGGAAACAATTTCTTCTAGTTAGCTAGCAATTTCATCGAAACCACTTTTCAATATAATTTGTGCGTGGTCTTTATTTGAGAAAATTTAATACAGCTATTTACATGGAACCCAAATCTAATTTTACCCTTTTTTAATTAATATGACTCAGTAAATTTTCAACTTATTTTTTACTTTTTTTCCTCTACAAAATGGTAAGTCCTCTTTATATTTGGGGTCCTGATTCTACGTTTTTTTCTAATCTAAACTTAAACTTAATACTCCTTTATTTTTTTAGCATGCTCTGGCAGCCTATGTTTACCAACCACGCTAATATATGAGCTTATTTTTTGCCCCTGATGATGGGATTTACTAATCCCAAAATATGTAGGACCATTTTAGACGAATAAAATATTTGTGGAGGAAGACTTTGAGCTTTTCTTTTATATTATAATTTTATTACTAGAATAATAGAATCCTATATTGTGATGAATTATTATTGTCCGGATATGCACCTGTCCCAACTTCCCTTATTTGATCCACAACAAAAAAAGGCTCATCTTAGAAACCAAATCACGTTCATGCGTTGACGCCTCATTTCCATTACCTTTAACTCACTATCTATCGAAGACATCACATTAAAATAAATTACTGGACGCTAATAATAAAACGATATATCCGTTGTGTTATTGTTTTAAATCTTTTGCGGTTTTCGCTTATCAGTCGAGAAACGATTATTGTAAGAAGAACAAGTTAATGTGGTCGAAGAATTTTTCCCCAAAAAGTGCAGATTTTTGGAATATTTCCGGCTTGGTGCGGTTTATGTATGTGAAAATATTTTTTAGTTTCCATTTATAGCTCTAGACGTAGGTATTCTCTTTATAATTATTAATCATTGTCGTTGTGCGGTCAAAAATATTTTAAAATAGAGAATTGTGTATCACACAGAAACAATGTTATGGTTTTTTGGTATATTTTTTACTGTGTATATCGTAAAGTGTTACAACATAGACATTGATCATCCAATTATTATCGAAAATCCAGATAGAGCCCAACCGAAGTCATATTTTGGTTATTCCGTTGCGCTGTATAATGATAAAGATCGTAAGGAAAAATGGTAAGTGAAAATAGTACTGTTTGCATTACTTATCTGCACATTTATTTTTGAGAAAATCAGTCTAAACTTTTTTTTTTAAATCGACAGTTTCAGCCCTCGTGAAGAGGGGGGCTTTTAGTAAAACTTTCATAGATTTCTTTATCGGTGATTTTTTAAAAGTTTCATAAAAGTTTCCATGTTCGAATTGAGCCATCCAGATTGAGAGTTTTTTATTATTATTATCTAGAACTCGGTATCAAACCTTTGCCAGCAGTTTCCTCGAAATTAGGGGCATTATAATCTCAACAATATCTTCATCGGATGTTATAGTAATATACATACTTAGAAATGACTGGATAAAAATAAACTTCAAATTTGGAACTCGAAAACTGTATAAGGTACCAAAACCAATTAAACACCGTTTATTGAAAGATTTAATGCTCTTTTAGATAACGTATAATTTAAAATAATTTGCCAAAATATTATTGAAGATATTGGCGATTAATCATGACCGAGTCAAGATTTCCGAACACAAAAAGACTTATCTTTCTTTTTGAAATTTTTGAATCTTCAAAATATTCAAACTTTAATATTCAGATGGGTCAGTTAAGTTAGCCCGCCCCCCTCCCACTGAATTTTTCTAAATGAAACATGTTCCATAATTTTGCTCCACCAATTATAATTTTTGAATTTTTACTCCACTACAGGAGAGACTATGTCGCCTATCAAATGGGGAGGCGAATTAATGCTACTGTCAATTTTTCCAAAACAGTTGAATTTAGGTATAGGGCATAGAGGTATAGGGTATATCACATGAAATCTGCTCAGAATTTTACGTAGAATCCAAATATGCAATCACATACAGGGTGTTTCATTTAAAATAGCGATGTTGCCACTGGTTTAGAGTAGAAGCGGCAACATCGCATAAACAAAAATATTTTTAAAGTGTAGATCATGGTCGTTTATCCCGGTTGCCAAATTTTCAAAATGATCCGCTTTTTAGTTCTCCATAAACGTCTAATACGCCATCCACTGTGGGACACCCTGTATGTATAAGAGTTGCTTAAACCTAAATTCTCACAAAAAAAGTGTAGGGTATATTATTATCAAATGATAAAGGACCCCGCTTTATTTAAACGGAAATTGGTGACCCGTGATATTTGGATGAAATTTAAATATGTTATTAGAAATGCCTTGCGAGTATAATTTTTTTAATTATTTTTTTTGCGCTTACTTATGTAGGTGGCAGACGACTTTTGTTGTGAAATTTAGGTGGCAGATGATATTTTCTTAGCTTTCTATGTTTCTACCAATAGTACAATAAGATCCGCCTATGCGGCTATAAGTTTTTTTCGTTCATTTTTTACTGTAATTGAACCCTCCTGTAACCCCTGTCGTGTTAGTGCGCCGGCAAACGTTCATATTATTATCATATACTACACGCATAGCACATACAACAAAAAGAATGAAGCTTGCGGAAATGGTACAATGAAATATGTCGTTAACTCCCGGACTATAACTGCATGTGCGACATGACATAACAAACATTGTCTTTTTGCTTTGCATACTGCCAACTAGAATCTAGAGAAAAACATTTAACACATTCAAAATATTTAAAACCATTTGAAAACTTTAACAATTATGAAACTTTTACAACACATATGTGGTAACTTCTTCCAGCTAGTATTAAATGAAATAGAATAAAAATAAATATAAATATAAAATATAAACATATGAAACTCTCAACAGGATAAAAAGCACTATGACTAAATGGATTTGATTCTGTTTTCAAAGCTATGCAGACTAATGTTAAAAATATCCATATTAAGCCTATTTATCACAGAGTTTGCCAGTCCAGAGAATCTTGTTAAAGGAGAATAGTAACCATAGTTAGTACGATGATTTTTAATAGAAAATAACCTATTGCTCCTAATATTACTGCGAGGAATGTTTAAACTTATTAACAATAAAAGCTCGGGTGAATCAATCATGTTGTTAATTATTATATAAAATACACAAGTCCTGCTAGTCCCTTCTATATTGTAAAGTCTGAATATTTAGAAGAGTCTGAAGTTCATCATAATCAATAGAATCATACAATACTTGAATAGCCATTTCTTAAAGTAAATACCTATATTATTAAAATCCTTCAAACAACGTAATAAAAATCCCAACAACCTCATAGCTCTGTTGGAAATTCTTTCAATGTGCTCTATAAAAGTAGACACCTAAATCCCTCACTAAATAAACTCTCTCCAGATCAATTCCCCCAATTGAAAAATGAAAAATAAAAGGAGTTTTCATTCTCCGAAAGGACATTAAGGTCTAAATGATTCCTTCCACACCACAAATAATAACACACAATAAATGATTAACTTCATTTTGAAGGGTCTCACAGTCATTGATATTTTTAACAATAAGAAATATTTTTTTGTCATCGGCAAAATTTAGAAATTTGCAACTTGTGAAAACCTTCTTAACATCATCCATGAAGAGGTTAAATAGAAGGAGATAAATGTCCGCCTTGCAAAACCCCAGAAGGTATCAATTTCAGTTGAGATAATATTTTCTACTTTTACTTTTTGCTTTCTTCCTGAAAGCTGATCAACAATCCAATCCAAGAAACTACCGTGAAAACCTATGGTCAACTCTGTCAAATGCCTTGGAGAAGTCTGTATAGACCACATCCACCTGATACCCCTCCTCTAAAGCGCCAAACAGAGTCTGTTCAAATCCCAACAAATTTGAATTTGTGGACATTTTCTGAAACCATGTTGTTCAGGAATTTTTAAACAATGGTGTTATTTTGTCCGTTATTATCGCTTCTAGTATCTTAAAGAAAATAGAAATTCTAGAAACAGGCCTGTAGTTCTCAATTAGGGACTTATCTCCACTTTTGAAAATTGAAGTCACAAAACTGGTCTTATATGCTTGTGGAAAAATACCCCTGCTCAATGATCTATAATAAATTTGACATAATAAATAAGAAAATAAACATATGATTAAGCCAAGAATGCCATCCTGTCCACTACCTAAATTGTCTTTTAAATGAAAAATCTTTTCATAAACATCCATAACATCAATAGTTACACAGCTCAAGTTAACAGACAACAAATCAGATATTTGCATCTGATTTGTCGTGTTTTTTGTATACACAGCAAAAGTGTTTTTTAAAGAGGTCAGCAATGTCTTCAGGAGAATCTGCATTCTCATCTTTTAAAGTCATTAAACTGGAAAAACTATTTGTATTTTGCTTTGACCTGATGTAACGCCAAAATCCATTTCGATCCTGCACCCTATCCTCTATACTATCTAGGTAATTTTGATGGCTAATTGAAGCATATTCCTTACATTTTACCCTTAATTGAGAAAACTGAAGGTAATCCTCTAAAGAAGATGTTTCCTTAAATTTTTTATGTGCAGCTTTCTTTATTAAAATCATTTTTTTCAAGGTGACATTCTTCCATTTTGAAAACTTAGGGTTCTTATGCCGATTTACTGGGGTTAATACTTTGATAGCATCATATAAAGGTTCTCATAAAATACTTCAATTAAGTGATCTAAGTCCTCAATCAATAAAAAATTACCCCAATCAACCATCGATAATGCCAATCCGAGATCTCTAAAGTTACACAATTTGAAATTATAATAAAAATAATCAGCTGATTGATTTGTCAATGTTCACCATAAACTCTAATGCAGGGTGCAGTTTATCTAATTTCAGGAGGGAAATTTGGTTTGGTCTGTGATCAACCTAGTTGGTCTGGGTTTAAACCAGAACACATTTGGTCTGTTGAAATCACCACACAAAAAAACATCAGTATTTTCACAGGAATAACTATTGAATAGGTATGTTTATTTCTCGTAGAGTGGTGAGTCAGGAGGAATATAAACATTACCAAACAATAAACGTTTTTTATCCATTGAGACCATTACAATAAGGTGTTCAAGGGATTCCACATCAGTGGATAGCAATTTGCATTTTAGTTTATTGTTAACTGCAATAATGACACCACCCTAAGATTTATGAATGCTTGTCTTTGAAGACCGATAATATCTAAAGATGATATACTCATCCTGTAATGCTAATTCATTGGTGTCAATAACTTCATTGAGAAATGTTTCTGTCAACAGTACGATATCATAATTATCACCAAGCAGATTACACATGAGAGTCCTAATTTTAGTCTTAATCCCCTTAACATTCTGATCATAAATACTTAGTACCGGTTCCTTGGCTGCTGATGATACTGAAAATTTGACTGCACATTCGATTTTCTTGGGATATTGAAGTTAAATTCCCTAAATACTACTGCCAGAGGCCAGAAATTGTCATGAATTATATTGTTAAAATACCTATCTCAAAAGATTTCATTTTGCATCAGATGTTATTTCTTCAACAACTACTTCAGTCTCACTACTAGCACTCAGGTTGCTGCATATACAGGGTGTATTAGGTTTGACTACAAAAATTTTAACACGTGAAAATATGGCCCATTTTGAACAAAAAAAGTCTTTACAACATGGGGTCTAAACTCAACCATTTTTAAGAAAACGGCCTTCGAAGTTTTGACATTTTTTGACGAATATTTCAAAGATAAAGAAAATTTTAATCATTATGAGATGTAAACAAATTTAGTTTGTTTAATTATTTAGTAATTATGCATTTTTAGTCAACAACAATAGCAAAAAATTGAAAAAACAACATAAAAATTTCACTTGTAAATCGGTGTCTAAACATATGGCAACATAGCACAATAAAGAATAGGTGGTGAAACGTTGAACCTTGGATGAACTGAATAATTTGATTCTTGATTTGTCTTGTCTAGTTGAGAAACGCGCGTTATTCAAATTCATTCTTTTTTGAAAATAAAAGGTTTACCCGTTGTGCCCGTTTCACAAAGATTGCGTGATACAGGAAGTGTGAGTGTCTAATATCTGCGTGCTGTTTTCAGTGTTTTGAGAACCTTTTGACAAAAATTAATATTTTCATAATAAGGATTTGGCAAGTAGCTGAGTGA